TTGGTACCTTGGGAAGGCACTAGAGCGCGATAAAACACGGATTAATGTTATGATAATACTGTTGATGATAATGACGACGACATACTGCCTCTTGGGAGCATCTTGGGCCTCTCCCAGGCCCTCATTGGGCCGTCTTGTGGCTCTCTTAGGCCGTCTTGGGGCCCTTTTGGGCCGTCCTCAGGCCCTCTTGGGAGCCTCTCGGGCCGTCATGGCACAATCTCGGGGGGCCCTGTAGCTGTATCGGGCCGCTCTTGCCCGAAAAAACGAAAAGCTGGAACACCTGCACAAACCTTAAGACAACAATGGTTTTTGCGTCGTCTGGCACTTTTGGGGGTCCTCTCGGGGGCCGCTTGGGGCGTCTTGGAGGCCTCTTGGGTTGTACTGAGGCTATCTTGGGCTATCTTGGATCGCTCTTAGGCCGTCCTCGGGCCCGTTTGGGCCTCTCTTACGCCGTCTGGTACCTTAAGCTGGCGAGGAGCTTACGCGGAGCTTACGCGGAGCTTACGCGGAGCTTACGCACCCGTTAACAAGGAATTCCATGTTAACAGGCACCTGGCCCCGCTCAGGTACCCGTTGGCAGGGAATCCCACCAGCCCTTTAGGGCGTCGGTGGTTTAACGAGTTTCCTCTTCCACCCCTCCTTCTTCCCCTTCGGGGAGGGGTTTACCCCTCCCCCTACCCCCTCCCCACTGACCTGGACAGGGGGGGCCGCGATCGGTCAGAGCGTCCAAGATCGACCCCTGGGAGGGCTAAAATTCGACACCCCTCACGAGGATCGTGGCTCCTGAGGGGGGGGCTGAAATTTAGGAACCCCCCTTCGTTGATCGATCTCCTCCAAGATGGCTCCGAGAGACGTCTTGGACCCCCTCTTGGGCCCTGCGCGCGGGCGGGCGGAGCGCCGCCCGCCCGCCCGCAAGGCCCAAGAGCCTACCAAAACGTTCGAAGATACTTCCAAAACGCCCCCATGGAAGAGGAAGATGAGGAGGAAGAGGAGGAGGAGGAGGAGGAGGAGGAGGAGCAGGAGGTGAGGGAGGAGGAGGAGAAGAGGAGGAGGAGAAGGCGGAGGAGGAGGAAGAGGGGGAGGAGAACAGCTGCCGATCATCGGCGCTCTTCGTTCGAGCGCCTGGTGTAGGATGGGCTGGTGGGGATACGCGAAGCGTCAAGAATTTACATAGAGTTCCATGTTAATAAGGCCCTGACCCCGCTCGGGCAACCGTTAACAGGGAATTCCGCGCAATTTCCCTGTTGACGGATGCCTGAGTCAGCTCAAGCACCCGCCTTTCCATGGTAAAGTGAGGGGCAACGATAGGGGGGGACTGGCATAGGGGGGGATTCATCGACCTGGAATCGGCGATACATCGCCGATAGATCGGCGATAGGCCTCCGATCGTGAATCCGAACCTGGGCAGGTTGGTTGGGGCTATCGGGCCCCTATCGGCGATCGATGGGCGATTGGGGGTCGATGCATCCCCCCCTATGCTTACCCCCCCTATTGTTGAAAAGGCATTAGATCCCTGGGGGACGGGATGCCATCCCCCTCGAACTCCCCCTCGTTTCATTCCTTCCGCCTAGCGGATCGCACGCTACGCGCGCTTTCCGTCATCCGCCGCCCCCTGTGCTTGTCACAAAGGTGCCTGGCGTGCTGGATCCTTTCGGTTTTGGTTTTGGCTCTTATTCCTAAAGAACTCTCCCCTTGGGCTCCGGCCCAACCCGCCGGCCACCCGGAAAGGACCGCAAAGCGCCCAATCGGCCGAACTTTTTTCCCAAGAGGGCTCAACATGGTTTTCAAGACCGCCAAGATGGCCTCCAGGATGCCTCCAAGATGGCCAAGATGGCCTCCAAGACGGCCCAAGAGGGTCCAAGATACCTCCAAATCCGCACAGGAAGCCACCAAGACGGCCCCGAAGGCCTCCCAAGAGGGATCCAAGACGGCCCAAGAGGGCTCCAAGAGTTCTCTAGGATGGCCCGAAGAGGCCAAAATCATTGTTTTCCGTTGGTTTTCAAGGATTCTGGCATTTGCTTCTTTTCGGCCTTCCGACGGCCCGAGACGGCCCAAGAGCCTCCAAAGATCGCCCCACGATCGCCCAACAGGCCTCCAAGATGGCCCCCAAGACCGCCCCAGAAGGGCGACAAGACGGCCCAGGATGCCTCCAAGACGCCCAAGATGGCCTCCAAGATGGCCCTGGAGCACCCCAAGATGGCCCCCAGTCGGCCCAGAGAGGCCTCCAAGACAGCTTCCGACGGCCTCTGACGGGCAAGGAGCCCACCAAGATGGCCTAAAATTGCTCTAAGATGGCCCAAGACGACCCAAGAGGCCCTCAAGAGGCCCCCAAGACGGCCCACGAGGGCTCCAAGAGGGCCTCCAGGAAGGCCCACAAATGCCAAAATCATGAATTTTCCGTTTGTTTTTGAAGGATTCTGGCATTTGCGTCTTTTCGGCCTTCCGACGGCCCGAGACAGCCCAAGAGCCCCCCAAGATCGCCCCAAGATCACCCAAGAGGCCTCCAAGATGGCCCCAGAACGGCCGAAGAGGCCCCCAACACGACCCTAAGAGGGCCCCCAGGCAGCCCAAGAGGCTTCCAAGGCGCTCAATATGGCCTCCAAGACGGCCCTGGAGCACCCCAAGAGGGTTTCCCATCGGCCCGGAGAGGCCCCGAAGACGGCTTCCGACGGCGGGCCAATAATGCCCTGAGACGGCCAAATGGGCCCCCGAGAAGCCCCCAAAGGCCCCCACGAGGCCCAAGGAGGCCCTCAAGATGCTTCTAAAAGGCTCCCAGGAAGCTCCCAGGAGGCCCCAAGAGTGCCCCCAGAGGCTCCCAAGATGCCCCGTCCTCCTCCTCCTCCTCCTGCTCCTCCTTCTCCTCCTCCCCTCCTCCTCCTCCTCTTCCTCCTCCTTCTCCTCCTCCTCCCTCTCCTCCTCTCCTCCTCCTTGTGCTCTTCCTCCTCCTCCTCCTCCTTCTCCTCCTGATCTTCCTCGCTATCCTCCCCCAAGTGTTCCCCGAAGGGTGTCCACAACGGTTGGGGAAACACATGGTCCGATAGCTTGGTAGAGCTCTTGCCATAACGCTCGGACACATGGGCGCTTCCAAACCTCTTGCCCCCCCCCCACGCGTTCCCCGAAGGCTCTCCGAACGGACTCGGGGAACAACTGGCCCGATAGCTTGGCCAAGCTCTAGCCCAACTGTCGGCCACAGACGTATGCGCTTCCACGATGGCAGGGGGCGGCGGTGATTCGCCGTAGGCGTCTTCGATGGAAGTGCCGAAGGGCACTGGGGGGCTCCTAAGAGCCCCACTCGTGGTCCACTTCAGGATACCTGGCTCCTCCTCCTCCTCCTCCGTGTTCTGATGTTTCTCCCCATCCTCCCAAGATGGCTCTAGGAGACCTCTATGAGGCTCCTAAAACACCGCGCCTGCGCATCGGTTCTGGATGGGCTGGTGGGGATCCGCGAAACGTCAATCATTACACCCCCACCGTATAGAGCCTAAACCGAAGCATGGCCACACAAACTCACAAGTGTGGCAACAACAAAGGCTATGCCCTAACATTGTATACAGCGCGCCCACCGCAAACGGAATCAACACTTGACAACATTCGAACCATACTGCGGCCAGGGCGTCTCTAAACCGTGCAACGTTTAACACACCTCAGCCACACGTCCAACAGTGTTGTTCCACAGGTCAAGCATGGTCAAATCAGCAGCAACTTTTGCATGTGGACCACTTGGCTGGCTGGTGGGTTGGGCGGACAGGGGGCTGGTTTCCAAACGTACCAGCAAGCCAGAAAGCCAGCCAGCCAACCAGCCAACCAGCTAGCCAGCCAGGCAACCAGCCTAACAGCTAGCCAAGTAGCCAGCCAGGCAACCAGCCTACCAGCGAGCCAACCAGCCAGCCAGAAAACCAGCCAACCAATCAAGCAACCGGCCAGCCAGCCAGACCACCCAGCCCACCTGCAGCCAACCACGCAGTCAACCAGCCAACCAGCCAACTAGCCAACCAACCAACTAACCAGCCGACAGCCATCAAACCAGCCAACCAATACCCAGCCAACGGGCGCAACGCCCAGCCCATGAAGCAGCCAGCCAACCCAGTCAACAAGCCCATCGGCCAAACAGCCAACCAGCCAGCCAACCAGCCAACCGGCCAGTCAACCGGCCAACCAACCAGCCAACCAACCAGCCAGCCAGCCAGCCAACGAGCCAAGCGGAGTCAACTAACCAACAGCCAACCAGCCAACCATCCAAACCACCAGCTAACCAGCCAGCCAACCAGACAACCAGCCAATCAGCCAGCCAACCAGCAACCCAGCCAACGACCCAACCAGCCAATCACCAACTAGCCAACCAATCAACCAAAAAGCAGCGCCGTCTCTGGGGTCTCAAAAGGGCCCCAAATCCCAAAACCTTCATCCTCGAGCCTCGAGCCTCGATCCTCGAATCCTCGACGACGATGACGACGGCGAAAACGCTGTCGTTGTCGTCGCCAGCCAAGGCAACCATGCCAAGGCCGCGCAGCAGGCTGGGGAGCGCAGGCAGCAGGCCAGTGTGGCGCGCACGCGCGCACGTTCAGGCTTGCTTGCGCACGCAAGTTCAGATCTGAACATTTGCGCACGCGAATGAGAATGCGCAAACGAAGAGACACTGCTACTAACACTTATGCTGTACGCAAACGACTGTGCGAGCGCGCATGTACGCATTCAGACAAGCAGGGAAGCAAGGCAGCAGGCCAGCAAATACGCACGATGGCAAGCATGTATACAACGCCCACAGGCTCACACAATCCACGGGCATCACAGGATGCGCAACCAAGAGCCTACCCCGCGGTTACAGATGTGAATATTCAAGAATTCCTTGCTTCGCTCCTGCATGCGAAAAGCATGTGAGTCATCCCTGTACCTGTTCACCCTCCATCCAACTTGCCTCTACCGCTTGTTCCCGTGCCCCTTCCAATTCCACTCTGGTGTTCCTCTGGTGATACGGAGCCCGTGAACTTCAAAGAGGGTACTTCTCCCTCTCGGCAAGTAGTGCTGCCAGGTTGTTTTGGGAGACGAGCGTATCAGGATGTGCAGCACCCAGGGCCGTCTCCTTCGCCTGGCGGGCGGTCAAGACTCGTGAGGGGAACGCCCATTACGGAGCCTCCCCTGGTGCGACGAACCGCCCACGCGCATGCTGCATCCTTGTAACACCGTGCCCACCATGGAGAGGGTAAATCCGCCGATCCTGTCGGCGTGTGTGAGGGGGAGTCCCAGGGTGGTCGTCCAAGGGTGGTTCTGGGAGACGTTTGTCCATTGGAAGATCTCCCCCTTCCTTCTCTGCGGCCACCTGGGGCTCTCCAAGCTCACCAGCACGAGGTGAATCGACCATGGCCGTAGCCACACCAACAGGAAACCCCTTCCACGCTGGGGGGGTATGTTGGGTGTATGTGGTCCCCGGGGGTGAGGGGAAGTCCTGGGGGAGGGATGTCATACGGTAGAGGGGGACAATTACTGAACACTCCCCCTCCCCCCCAAACTCAATGTTGGCACGCGCGGGGGGGACTGCGGCCCAAGTGCATCTCATCAGACCCGCCGCCAACTTTGAACATTGGGGGGAGGGGGAAGCGTTGACGGATGAATGTGGCATGAATGTTCGCTAATTTGTCCCGAGGCCTGTAGGGGTGGGGAGAGGATGGGGCGGCGGGGTCACAAGGCGGGGTGGTGCGCCTCCCGCCATCCCTCCCCTTCCCTGGCGTGACTCGGGCGATCGTTGGGGCCGATTCGGCTATCTCTGGATCGCCCAGACCCGCGAGAGATCTCCCAGGCTCAACATCGGCACTCGTTGGAGTCCCGTTGGCGGTCTTAGATAGATGTCCTGGAGGCCAGCTCAAGTGGCCAATGCTGGCTACGTACCTTATGTGCTTGCGCGATCTTGACATTCTCGCCGCGTCGATCGCGAGAGCGTGCAAAACGGTCCAACAACCCTCCAAAACGAGCCCAGGATGGCCAAATATGCCCCCAAGACGGCCGATGGCCAAAGCTGCCCCCAACACGGCCCTAAGAGAAGGCCCAACAGCACGCTGGCATCGCACCGCTGGAAGCCAACCCATCCAATGTAATCCCAAGACCCCAAGAGGCCACACGAGGCAATCACGCGGGCCACGAATGCCCCCCAAGAAGCCCATACAATATCGCAAGCAATGTTTCCAAAGCCTCTGGAATACGAGGTGGCGGGTTGGACCGATGACCATTCGTGTTCCGCCCTCGCATTCAAACCGCCACTGCCTTTCACCCCCATCCCCCTTCCGCCTCTTGCGCCCGAGCTGTTCACTTCTCAATGATGGGCGGAACCAGCCGCACGAATTCTCCCCAGCGAGCAAACAACGTTATATAGCACGGGGAATAACTTGAACTGGCTCAGGAAGGGGACTCATCCAAATAGATTCACGTGCCCAAGCATTGTGTTTCGACTCTGGCGCCCGCCCCGATGTGGGTGTAGCTGCGCGGCAGTGGGCCGTGCGAACTGGTTTCGAATGGATTTCGCATACAAGGTGTGCATATCGAGGTTGCCCTGGGGCTTGATCATGGGGGGGGGGGGCACAACATAGAAACGCAGACGTAAGGGTGCACATGCAATGCGGTTACCCTGACAATGCGAAGCGAAATTGTTGCATTGAACTGATCAGGAAAGCAACAACAACCTAAGGAATACCATGAGGATGACCAGCAGCTGCAACAAGGTTGGGGGATGGGAGGACGGACAACGGCGGAGGAGGAGGAGGCGGAGGCGGCGGCGGAGGAGCAGGAGGAGGCTCTCGAGGCCGGGGGATGGTGGAGTACCTCTGTGTTCCAGAAGAGTGGAGAAGCTTGCGTAGTCTTCTCCCCTCCGCTCACCATGTACACTCTTTATTATTATTTCTCGCTCTCTCTCTCTCTCTTTCTCTCTCTTTCTCTCTCTCTCTCTCTCTCTCTCTCTCTCTCTCTCTCTCTATCTATCTATCTATGTATTTCTCTCTCTCTCTCTCTCTCTCCCTCTCTGTCCCTCTTCCCCCTGTCTTTCTCTCTCTCTCTCTCTCTCTCTCTCCCATCACCTTCTGAAGCTATACCATCAGTTTGCCAGCGTCTTCAGTAGTCAGCTCGGTCTGCCATTCGTTGGCCACCTTTGCCTGCTCAGTCCTGGTAGGTCCTGGCCTTGCTCAGAATTGGTAACTGCCGGGTGAGCCCCGCTAAACTGTGCTAAGCCATGCCCAGAATTGCTAAACTCTACCAGGCTCTACTGGGCCCTACTGAGCTCTGGTAAGCCTTGGTCCGTCCTTCTAAACTTGCTAAACTTTGCTAAGCGTTGCTCATCCCTGTTAAGTTCTGATAAGACTTGCTGAGCCCTGGTAAGCCCTGCAGCCCTTAAGCCTCGATTGACCTTGCCACGCACTGCTCAGCCCTGGTTTGCTCAGCTACGCCCTGCTGGGCCTTGGTAAACCTTGGTAGGCCTTGGTAAGCCCTGCTAAAGCCTGGCTAGCGCTGCTAAGCCCTGCTAAGCCGTGCTTCTCCTTGACAAGTTTTGCCAATCCCTGCGCAGCCTCAAGAAGCTTTAAGTCCTGCTGCGCTTTGCTGAACCCTGCTAAGCCCGGATAGGTCTTGGAGAGTTCTGCTAAGCCCTGCTGGGCCCTGCTAGGCACTGCTAAGCCTTGGCAAGCTCTGCAAGCCATGATAACTTCTTGTACGGCTTGCTATGTCCTGGTATGTTCTGCTAAGCCCAGCTACGCCTGGTAAGTCTTGCTAAACCTTGCTGGGCCTGGCAAGACTTGCTAAGCCCCGCTAAGGTTCGCTGAGCCTTATTCAACCGTTGCAAGTTTTGCTAAAACTTGCTGGACCTTGCAAAGCCTTTCAGCCCTGCTGAGCGTTGCTTTCCAAGGCCGAGCAAGGTTCAGCAAGGCTTACCAGGCCCAAGCAGGGCTTAGCAAAGCTTACCAAGCCCTGCTGGGCTTAACAAGGCTTACCACGCTTGCCACTGCTTAGTAGAGCTTACCAGGGCATGACAAGGCGTGTAAGTGCTTACCATGGCTCATCAGGACGCAGCAGGAATTTAAAGGGCTTAGCAAGGTTCGCAATGCCTTAGCAGGGCTTACCAAGGTTTAACAAGGCCTGCCGAGTCTTAGCAGGCTTAGCATGGCTCAGCGAAGCTCAGCTGGGGTTAAAGCTTCGCAAGGATTAGCAGGGATGGGCAAAGCTTGGCAAGGCTGAGCAGGGCTTAGCTGGGCTTTGGAAGGTTTACCCCTGTTTGGCAGAGATTGCCAGGGAGCAGAACATCTTAGCAGAGTTTAGCATGGCCTGGCCGGGCAGGGAAGCCTTGCTACGCCTCGCGAAGCTTTAGGCCCTGCTGAGCGTTGCTGAGACCTGCTCAGCCTTGCCAAGCGTTGCCCATCCCTGTGAATCCTTGCGAAACCTTAGGCCCTGCTGAGCTTTGCTGAGCCATGCTGAGGCCTGGTCAACTTTGAAACCTTGGTACGCCCTGTTAAGGCCTTGTAAACCTTGCTACGTCCTGCTGAGCCTGCTAAGCATTGCTAAGCCCTGGCAAGCTCTGCGAAGCCCTGCTAAATCCTGGTACACCCTGCTGTGCCCTGCGAAGCTCCGGTAAGCTGTGCTATGCCCTGGTGAGCTCTGCTAAGCCCTGCTAATATTGGCAAGCCTGGCTCAGCTCAGGTAGGCCTGGTGCGCTTTTCTAAACCCTGATAAAGGCTTTTCTGAGCCCTGGTAACGTCTGCTCGGCCTAGCTAAACCCTGGTAGACTGCTAGGCCATGCTCAGCGCTGCTAAGCATTGCTGCTCTCTGGCATTATTTGCCCAGCGCTGCTGTCTTGCTAAGCGCAGCTAAGCCCTGCTCAGCCTTGGCAAGCGTTGCTAAGCCACGGTCGGCCCTGGTAAGTCCTTGATGAACTTTGTAAGCCCTGGCAAGCCCTTGGGAAGCTTTGCTAAGCCCTGGTAAGCCTTGGAAAGCCCATGGTAAGCTCTGCATCATAACAAGGAGCCCTGGGTGCTTGGCAGGAAATCGTCAGTAGGGATGAGGAGTAGAAGGGAAGAGGAAGGGGGGGAGGAGAGGGAGGAGGAGGAGGAGGAGGAGGAGGAGGAGGAGGAGGAGGAGGAGGGGAGTGCGGGAGCGGGAGGGGGAGGGAGGAGGAGGAGGACAAGGAGGTGGAGGATTCATTTGTCTCGCCCCCCCCCCAAAGAAGAAGGATTACACATCCGAAAAACGAGAGGCTTCCTCCCCCCAAACAGATTTTTGTTCTTGGGGGGGAGAGGAGAAAACGCATTGGCTCTTTCGGAGAGGCGGAGGAAGAGGAAGAGGAGGGGAGGGAGGAGAAGGAGGAGGGGCAGGAGGAGAAGGTGGAGGCGCAGGAAGAGGAGGAGGAAACGTAGGAGGAGGATGGGGATCAGGCGGAGGAGGAGGAGAAGGAGGAGGAGGAGGAGGAGGAGGAGGAGGAGGAGCACGCCAAAGACCACGCAGAGCATTTACAGTCGCACGCGCGAGCTCAATGAGAAAGCCTCGCGAGAGCGCGCCCTCAACTCCGAGGTACTCCATAATCCCCCGTTCTCGAGGAGGAGGAAAAGGAGGAGGAGGAGGAGGAGGAGAGAAGGGAGGAAAAGGACGAGGAACATGAAAAAGGAAAAGGGGGAGACCGCAAAGGGTGAATATGTAGATCATGAGTCGGGGGAAGCGGCGGCAACAGGCGCCTGATGATCCACGTGGGAAAGCCTGCGTAAAACAACAACGCCAACAACAATCAGTTTCATACTGCTCGCTCTTACCTGCTCTAGGCCCACTCAACACGGATCTCCTACATCTTCGATGCCCGCCCTCTTCGTCTTCGATCGTACCCCTTTGGGGGCATGTACCATTCTTGCCTGCAGCGTGTATTTCGTGCAGCCCCCAAGGCAGGAAACGAGAAGACGGATGGAAGAAAGGGACAAGGGGGCGGGAGGAGGGTGGAGCACGAGAGAGAGTAGCAAGAAGGGGACTAGGAGCAATAAGCACGTCGCAGAACCAGACGGGCAGATCGGGCGGGTAGTCCCTGACGGGCGGGTCGGGAAGGCGGGCCCAGGGCGGCCAGGTCGAGCAGGC